GCATCACAAGGACTGTGCATACACTAGGGCGTCCGTAGTGTAGGATAAGCATTGGTACAAGGTATAAGGAGTAGAGTGTCTTGAGGAAATAGCCGGCTTATGGTTATGGCAAATCTGGAGGTAAATTTACCCCCCGCTTATGTATGCCTTAAGCCGGAACGAGGGGTAAGCATCACAAGGGCTGTGCATACGCTAGGGCGTCCGTAGTGTAGGATAAGCACTGGTAAAAGGTATCAGGAATAGACTGTCTTGGGGAAATAACCGGTGTATGGTTATAGCAAACCTGGGTGGTAAATTTACCACCCACTTATGCATGCATTAGGTTAGAAATAGGGGTAAAGAACTTGTAACAGTGAAGTACAAGTCCTATGCAGCAAGCAGCAGCCAGCAGCAGCAGCAGCAGCCAGCAGCCAGCAGCAACCACCAACCAGCAGCCAGCCAGCAGCACCACGCAGCAGCAGCGCAGCACCAAGCCGCAGCAGCAGCAGCAGTAGCAAGCAGCAAGCAGCAGCAGCAGCAAGCAGCAAGCAGCAGCAGCAGCAGCGGCGTCGTCAGCAACAGCAGCAGCAGCACCAAGCCGCAACAAGTAGCAAAGCAGCAGCTACAAAAGCGGCAACCTCAGGCAGCAGCAAGCAGCAGAGCGGCAGCAGCAGCACCGTTTACACCCAACCAACCACGTTCACACGTTCAACCAACCCCCGCGACACGGCGCAGCTGGGAGTTGAACCGCGGGGGGGGGGTTAGCTTGATATATCAATCTTTAAGGCACGCAGCCCCTCCCACCACAACATTGCTAAAGCAAAGAAGAACTCAGCTAGCATGCTAGCTTTCGTGACCATGGCCTTGACCCCATTTGACCCAGTCTGGTGACCGAATGTTGTGCGTAATATGTGCTTCTGCGTCACCCTTCCCTCAAGAACAAAGTCCAGCTGACTCTTTCAGCTCGACTGGCCAGCCGAGAAATCAACGCAATGATATTCATCCCAGGAGTATCCAATGGGTGCCCAATGGAGATCCCAAAGTCCCTATATCAGTACTGTAGGGTAGTCCATTGGACACCCTTGGATGCTCCTGGTCTATACCAAGTTAATTTCAACCCGGACCGCTGTCCGTGTCCGTGCCCTATCTGATAGGGCTGGGGAGCAAATGCTGCAGGGGCACCGGTCATGGAGATCGGTCAAACATGGCTGTCACTATTTTAGTTTTTTTTTTGTCGGATGCACTGCAATATGTAATCTGGTCAAACAGCCAAACATGGAAGCCTCAACATCTAAGAATCTAAGGTGAGATTCGTGGAGTGTTCCTTTCTTGGAAGGTTTGGGAGCCCCTTTGTTGAGACATGTTGAGACAAGCTCGACTGTTGGGTGAAGTCTGGCAAGCTTCTCTGGCGTACAATGTGCTTGATTTCTTGCCAAGGGCAATCAAGGTGCTTCTCACTCACCTGCGTCCGTATCGAGTTAGTTCCTTCAAGCCATCTGCGGCAATGAACACACAAACAGACATTTTCGACTGGCTTGATGAAAACTCGATGGTTGAACGAAACCCCCTGCTTCATCCTGCTTCAGGCCTTTTGTTGTTCGTGCCCCGTGGTTTTCCAAATGTGTCTTGGCAATCCTTGGCATGATTGAACCGCCGTTCTTGGGCCTGCTTCGGTTGGTGGCTTAAATGATACGTGCCACCGCAACGACACCAGAGCATCAAGCTTCAACAAAAGTGCTGCCAACTTTTTATATACAGTAAATCAAAAGTTGTTAGAAGCATTGCAAGGCTTATTTAGAAGCATTGCAAGGGTTATCAAATTGACTTGTCTAGTGGAAGGGTACTAAGTCAGTGTGTTCCAGATCGGCCATCTCCGCAAACAGTGAGGCTCAGCTTTTTGCACCCAAAATTGCCGTAGGCCATTGCCGTAGGCCCACAGCCTGGCCAAAGGTGTCTTTATGAATTGTGTTTGTATGAATTTATCTTGATCTCTACTTGAACCTAAACTCTAACTGTGAAGATGTGGAAACACGAAAGTAACCACACCTTGCGTATGCGAC